ACAGTGGAGCTGGGGTCCTGCTTACGGTCTGTTAGGTTTTAGACCTGTTACTTCCATAGGCCCCCTTCCCTGGGTGAGGTGGGGACAGTGCAGTAACTTGAAGCAGCATTTGAGAATTGAGAGTTACTGGGTTGCTGGGGTGGCTCAGTCAGTTAAGCATCCGACTTCGGCTCAGGTCATGATCTCACGGTTCATGGGTTCGAGCCCCACATTGGTCTCTGTGCTGAGAGCTAGCTCGGAGCCTGGAGCCTGTTTCAGGTTCTGTGTCTCCCTCTCTCTCTGACCCTTCCCTGCTCACAGTCTCTCTCTCTCTCTCTCTCTTTCTCTCTCAGAAATAAATAAAACATTAAAAATTTTTTTTAAAGAGAATTGAGAGTTACTGCCTATAACTTGTTTCAACAATGCCTGGCACTTAGCCCTGGGCACTTAGCAGTAGCAGCGCCAGCATGTAGGCCAAGCAGCGCAGCAGAAGGCGGAGGGCAGAGGTGAATGTCCAGTGAATCAGAATCTTCATATCATATCCATGGTGATGGGATGCTGTTCCTTTCCTCCTTCTAACTGCACTCCCCCACACTGAACTAGCCCTTTGCTTCCCCAAAACCCACCCTTCTTGGGCCTGTTGGATTTATTCTTCTCCATGAAGAGTTTTCTAAGCTCCCACCTGGTCATATACTGCCTTATAGGAAGGACAAGACAGCCACCTTCCTTCCTGTAATTCACTTCCTTGTCAATTAGTCCATCTTTGATTAAATGTGCTTCTTCTAGAAGGTTCACTGTCCCTACCCTCCTTTTTTACCCAGGAAAACTTGATGCCTTGTATAGGATTTTACTGTTTGAGGATGCTAGTTGGATGCAGCTAAAAAATAAACGACATCTCTAAATGAAACTTGAGCATGTTTCTTGTTCTCTGTGATTGAGCTAAGCTGCTAAACCTAATTTGTCATGGTGATAACAGCTCTTTTCCTCCCGGAGCTGAAGGCAAAAGCCAGTAATTTCTCCAGTGTGATAGATGTCCACCCTCTCACCTGGTGTTTTATAAATATATTGTCTTAACTGTCTTTTAAGTATCTGTGCCTGGGAGGGTGCCTTCCTCTGTTTTATGAAATGCCAAGTGATAGCACTGTGATATATAAATAATGATAATTACAAGACAGCCTCAAATTATTTGACATCCAGATTGAAGGGAAAAGTGGTACTTTTTTTTCTGTAATACCCTAGAATTTGGATCAGAAATGGCATTCAAATGGAAAAAAAAAAAATATTGCTTCCTGTCAGACATGGATGGCTCAAAGCTTTTTATATGTGAAGTAAGGCACCACGGAAGAGAAGCATGTGCCAAAACATGTTGGGGCATCAGATCTGGACCAGACCATAAAAATTCTTAATGCTTTGCCGTGAATTATTTGAAAATAACAAATAGACCAGGAGCCAAAGAAGAGGGAAGTTGTTTTATCTGAAACTCCATGTAAAATATTTAATGGTCATTAAATTAAGTGAAGTGACATCATTTCCCAATCTCTGGCCTCTTTTCAAAAATGTCAAGAACTGAGGTTTCCAGAATTTGGTGCATCCTGATTTGGTTTGCTTTAGTATCATCTCTTAAATTTTCAAGGAATTCTTCTTTTGTGGTGGCTCCTGGCGGGTGAGTGTGAGACCACTTATTTGCTTAGTTGAAGAACAGAAGACTAAGAGTCAGAAAGTCAGGGTTTGATTTCTAGCCTCACCACCTAATAGGTGAATGGCCTTGGGCAGCTATTTAACCTCCAAATGTATTTCGTCCCCTGTAAAATAGTAATTTCATCACAAGAGCACCTTGAATATACTTCCTGTACTAATTTATATCCACATGCCAGTCATTGTTCTAACAACTGACTTACTCTCAACATACCGTTTAATAGATGAGGAAACTTATGCCCAGAAAGGTTAAGTGATTTACCCAGAGTCACACATCAAGAAAGTGATGTGCACAAGAATAGATTTAAGATTATCCTCAGGCAGACCCAGAACTTGAAGGTAAGCTATGAGAAGGGACACCAGTGTGACTGCTGTGGAGGTGGCCGGGCGGCCCTCTGTAGGGTGGAAATGTGGGTGAGGGGCAGGCTGCAGGGTCCCTTCCCAAGTGTCCTTGGTCTCCCTGCCGCCTTCCTCCTCTGCCCTTGGATGTCCCTGACTTTTATTGGTTTTACCTTCAGTCTCTTTCAAATCCATTTTCTACTCTTTCCACTGGCCCCACTGTCCCAAACTCACCTCATTTGTATCTCAGCTTTTGTTAGGATGCTTAGTATTCGTATCCTCATCACCATGCACCAACCCGTCTCTAGCAGTTCCCAGTTGGATCTGTCCGCGTCTGTGCCCATCTGCATTTCTGGAGGAACCTCCAGTTCACAGCCCTGCAACTCCTCACTGTGTATTGGAGTAAGGACTGCCCTCTTTAACTGGGGTCCTGTGATGCTTTGGATTGTAAATGACAGATAACCAATGTAAACAGTGTAAGAAAAAGGCAAACACAGAATGAGCCCCTTGCTTCAGGCACAGCTGAATCCAGGGGTTTGGGTCATATTATCGGAGTTCATTTTGAAATATGTGAGAGTCCCCCCCCCACCGAGCTCAAGGCTCACATCTTACCAGATGAGCTCCTCAACAGAAAGATGGCCTCCTCCCTGATGCCTCTGACTTGGTCCACATGCCCAGATAGCCCGAGTCACTAGGGTCTGGGGTTGGTCCCAGTTAAATAGGTACAAGCCACAAATGGCCATACTGCTTCCTGTTCAGAGCATTCTTGAATCGGATCTCTCCAGTGTTCCTCAGCCCTCTCCCTGTGTGTTAGGCTGTTCACTCCCCGTACCCCTGAGGTGGCTGCTGTTTGCAGCCTGTATCCAGCTCTGCCTTGAATCATGCCGGTCTCCCTTCATATTCTTCCCTGCCATCTCTCTGTTTATCAAAATTATACCAATTTCTCAAGGCCCAGCTGTAATCTTTGCTACAAAGCCTTTCCTTATCCTACTACTGGTTAACGGCAGTTCTTCCTTTTCTGTCTAGAGTCCAGCAGGCTATCACTTACTGCCTTTCACTGTATTACCAATCACCATCTTCATCAGTGCTGGGCCTTTCTTCAACGCACGTTCCTTTCTGTAGGTCTCTGTGGGCACAGAGCACTTAGGCATTGATTTTCTCTATGCAAAAGCCCATAGAGTAAGCAAGCAGGGTGCCTTTATCCTAATTTTTCAGCTCACCGTTGCTTGAACACCAGCTGCACCCCAAGACTGGGTGCTGACATGAAAAATATTTTAACATGATGGCCTCTAGATGCTTTATTCGGATTTTACAACTGAGGAAATTGAGCCTGAGTAAATACGTGGTCAGGTGCACCACTGACTATTGCTTTTAACTCCTAGAACATGCAAGCTCTTTGCTGCCTCTGCACCTTTTCAGAAGCTGTTCCTTCTGCCTGGAATATTCTTTCCACTCTCACCTCTCCTAGCCCTACTCTTTCCAGAGCCTAATTAAAATGTTACTTTTTGAGGGAGGCATCTGTTGATCATCTCCTTCCCCCAAGTCTAAAACAAGTCTCCTGTTCTCTCTTCCAGTACTCCCCTGTTTCTTCATAGCAGTCATCACAAATTGTAGTTCTTACTTTGATCGATGTATATGTTTAATGCCTCCCCACTAGACTGTGTACCCCATGAAGACAGGGACGATGACATTTTTGTTAACTCTTAAGCACTCAGTGCCTGGCACCAGTGTCGACCCAGAAGAGGCACTCAAGAAATAATTGTGTTGAGGGGCACCAGGGTGGCTCAGTCGGTCGGTTAGGCATCCAACTTGTGATTTCGGCTCAGGTCGTAATCTCTCAGTACATGGGATCAAGCCCCATGTTGGGCTCTGCATGGAGCGTGGAGCCTGCTTGGGATCCCCTCCCCGCCCCCACTCATGTGCGCTCAAGTGTGTGCACACTCTTCACTTTCTGTAAATAAACATCCAAAAAACGTGTTGAATGAGAAAAGGCAAATGTCAGCCGTTCTCACAACTCAGTGAATGCGAAAGCAGTGTCAGAACTCAGATTGCCTGAGGCCCAGGTCAGCGTCACTCCCGACTCTGGCCATGTCCTACTCTGTGCCCACGAGTCCTACTCTGCCCACGAGTGGCCTCACCTGCCAAGTTATGTGATCACCGAGACCGTTTGGTTCAAGCTCTTGTATGGGTTCCACAGACCTTAGTACTGTTTGCTATGTGGATGTTTAGCTTACGGACTGTTGGTATGTGATTGTGTGGACAGAAGGGATGAGAGACAGACAGACTGACTTGCAAGGTGCTAGGGTGATCCATAAAGGAAACCAGATAGAGGATGATAACGTGTGGAGGCATGAGGAGGAGTCTACTGTATGAAGCACCTGCACTACTGCGCAGGCCCTGGGCTGGATGGCACTTGCGGTTGTGAACATCAGCCAAGATACAGCACGTTAACTCGTACCCTGATAAGATCTAAAAATAATACCCTGTTCTCGAGTTCTTCAAATAAGCCTTGCATTTTGGGGAGTCTTGAAGAGTTTGTGTTTTCATATTCCTATCACATTATATTGGAACACTTTCATTATACATGAAGGCAACTTTTACTCTTACACCAGACTGAGCAGCCTGTTACTATAGCAATATTGAAAGTATTTTGAGGTATTTATATACAGTGTCTTCTACACACTCCTTGCAAACTGTACATAACAGTAGAAATGGGCTATAATATCCAAAATTGTTTTTCTCTCTTTATTTCCTTTAGTAAACTTCTGTGAACTTCATCATAATTTAATTTTTAAAATGTGAACCTTTTCTTTCTAGGAAAGATTAATTTAGGGGAGTTGTGAATATATCTGACCTATCAAACATCAAGAATAGCTATGAAATAATTTGAATTCTGTTGTGAGTACCAGAAAGATATAATCGCTGCGTGAGATCTGTCTTTTCCAGAAAATGCAGTGCAATCATAGATTCCTTCTGTGTGTTTGCAGGGCCTGGACAGTTTCGAAGTGAAACCGAAATTCTTCTCAGGGAACAAGGAGCCAACATCGTCGTTTCCTGTGCCGTACGATCTTCCTCCAGAGCTGTATGGAAGTAAAGGTGGGACCTGGGTAAAAGGAAATCGTCGGTGTTCTGGACCGAAAGAGAAACAGTGCCCATGGGAAGCCGTTGGTCTCTCGGTGGGAGGTTGATTCATAGAACACTTCAGAAACGCAGGTTTGAGGAGTCCCCTATCTGGGACCACAGGAGCTGTAGTTCTTGAAATGGTTGGTCCCAGAATTCCTCTGCACTCCTATCATTATTAAGGAAGGACCACAGAGAGCTTTTATTTACATGGATTTTTATATCTATTGATGTTTACCATATTAGAAATTAAAACCAATTTTTTTAGTTTTAAGGTCATAGTAATCCTAATCATATTTTTTTTCCAAAAAAAAAAAAAATGAGGAAGGTGGCATTATCTACAGTTTTTGCAAACCTCCTTACTATCTGGGTTAACGAAAGACAGTTAAATTCTCATAGCTGCTCTGTTATGATAGGACATAACAAGGCGTCTGTACACTCGTGAAAAAGTGAAAATAACAAATAATGGCTTAATATTTTGATGAAAATAATTTTGACCTCACAGAAACCTCCTGTCCTCTTAAAAGGGAGATGCCCCGGCTGCCCGAGGCCGTGACTTTCTTAAAGGCAGTGACCACGTGTTTTTCATCATAGAAAGTCACTGGAATGGTGGTTCACGTTCGTGGTGGTTTTGGAGGCAAGCTGGCTGGTATGAGTGGCATCCAGTTCTGACACAGGCCCACAGACCCTAGGGCCGCTCTTGTCAGCCCCAGAATGTCTGTGAAGCGAGTTCACACTTCTAGACTCACACAAGCGGATGTATAATCAGGATGTGCCTAGTAATTTAAAATGGCAGCCAGCATATTTCCCCTGGTAGGTAGGTGCCTACGCAGATAGCCAGATTGTAGTCAGCAGTTTTTGAGTGAATGCTAAATCTGAACAGGAAAATCTTTGCTCTTGTTTGGAAAGTTCTAATGACCTCACCCAATGAATATTCCAAAATCTCTAGTTCCCTAACAGAGCCAGCCTTGCCCGGTGGTCCCTTTCTTCCCTGTACCGTGCTAGCTGCCTTCTAGATACTGCCCGACCCTCTCTCACCATTTTTGGCTTTTTCACGGTAAACCAAGCCCTCCCCTTCCAGTGGGCCCGTTTCTTATGTTGTCCAGACACCTCTGGCCCAGTTTGTGCCGTCTCCTAGTGTCAGCGTGCCAGCTGCCTCTGGCGGGTGACTTTTCTAGCTAAACACTTGTGATGATAGTAGTTTCAGAAGGCTCGTACGTTTGAATCCTCTAAATTTAAATCCTCTAAATTTATTGTATATTCATGCATTTTCATTTTTCACTAGCAAGATTGTATCGGTTTTATCACAATTTCAGAGAATCTCTGCCCCCCACCCCTCCATGCACAAATGAAGGATACTGCTTTAGAACCAGGCTGTGCTTCTGTGCAGCTTCTTAAGTGACCTTGGACCATATGCTTTCTCTAGGCCTTGGTGTCTCTATCTGTAAAATGGGAAAATAAGAGCGTCTACTTCAGAGAGTTATTGAAAAGAGTAACCAAGGGGCACCAGGGTGGCTTAGTCGGTTAAGTGTCCGACTTTCACTCAGGTCATGATCTCACAGTTCGTGGGTTCGAGCCCCGCGTCGGGCTCTGTGCTGACAGCCAGCTCGGAGCCTGGAGCCTGTTTCGGAGTCTGTGACTCCCTCTCTCTCTGACCCTCCCCTGCTCATGCTGTCTCTCTCTCTCTCTCCTAGAAATAAATAAAACATTTAAAAAAAAAAAAAAAGAAAAGAGTAACCAAGATGCTCTCCTATCTGTCACGCACCTAACACAGTATCTAGCGCAATATTGATAAAGTCAGTATTGGTCATTTGGTTAACGTGGTATTTGCCAAGTTGTATATACCTTTTGCAGGTTTAGTATATTTCACAATTTAAGTTTTAAGTGTGTAGAACTAAGCTCATTAGCTATGTATGTAATTGCTCATTTGAAGAGGTCGTTAAAACCTTGGCAGGTGAGATGCACATGATCTAGTTTAAACACGTACATAGTATCTGATTCTCTCAAGTGCTTTAAACCATTGGTTCCCATATAATTTAACCACTCCCCCTACTGCTTGATTCGTTTGCAATAATTTCTTGAATTCAGACAATTTAGAAATGAACTTCAGTCTAGACCTATCAGAATCATTGCTAAATAGTAGAGACAGGTTCATAAAGTATTTTTGAAAGGGAAACAGCTGATTGAACTTTCTAATCCAAAAAAAAAAAAGCAAAAGAAGTCACTTAAAATCGTTGATACACTTAATTTAATTTTTAGGGACCTGTTTTTGAAAGCTCTTTAGAAATGAGGACTTTTTTTTTAAATGAGAGAACCAGAAAAGTTTTCTAGACATAATTTTGATCATCTCCTGTAATAAAATCTTTTTGTTTCATAAAACAGGCTGACACCAAACTTCTAGCTTAGCTTTTTTTTTTAAATTATTTTGAGATGGGCAGAGAGAATCCTAAGCAAGCTCCATTCTGTAAGCGCAGAACCTGATACAGGACTTGAATTCATGAACTGTGAGATCATGACCTGAGCCAAAATCAAGAACTGGATGGATGCCCAACTGACTGAACCACCCAGGCGCCCCGGCTTAGCTTTTAAAATTACCTTATAAACACAAACCTTAAGGAAATGTAGAATTCTACAAGTAAAAAAGTAATTTATCAAATTACATTGAAATTAGTACTTGGTTTTTAGCAGTTTGAATTATTCTTCCTCTCACTGGATAGACTCTTCTGTTGTGCCCTATATACATGGGTTAACATGGAAGATCTTCTCAGAGAAGGGTTTAATGGGTTTCAGATAACAGCTGCATGTCTACTAGGTCAGTAACCCAGCCTGACATATTTTGGAGCTTTCCTTTGTATTTCAAGCAGGCAAGCCTTTTTTATACATTTGTTGATATCAGGGTAAGTAAAGTGGCATCAGAAATCTGCTACTTAGTTCATCTCTCTAGGTTCACAACAGCATACACACACACATACAGTCTGTGCCTGATACAAGGAAAGAAGTCAAGGTAATTGCTCGGGTGACAGTGGCTGCTGCAGGTAGTGTATCAGGTTCCCCTGAAGACAGTGGGAAATGCGTGTACAGGGGTTTGGACATGGGGGTAGAGTCCTACATAACTATTTATTTTTTTATTTTTTTATACAAATAGTTTATTGTCAACTTGGTATCCATATAACACCCAGTGCTCATCCCAACAAGTGCCCTCCCCCATGCTCATCTCCCCCTCCCCCACCACATCCATCAGTACTCAGTTTGTTCTCAGTATTCAAGAGTCTTTCATGGTTTGCCTCCCTCCCTCTCCCCCACCATTTCCCCCCTTCTTCTCCCCCTTGGTCCTCCCATTAAGTTCCTCCTAATCCTCCTATATATGCAATCATATGGGATTTGTCTTTCTCTGCCTGACTTATTTCGTTCAGCATAACACCCTCAAGGTCCATCCATGTTGCTCCACATGGCCAGATTTCATTCTTTCTCATTGCCATGTAGTATTCCATGGTATAGATAAACCACATCTTCTTGATCCATTTGTCCGTTGATGGACACTTAGGCTCTTTCCATGTTTTGGCTGTTGTTGAGAGAGCTGCTATGAACATTGGGGTACATGTGCTTCTATGCATCAACACTCCTGTATTCCTTGGGTAAATTCCTAGCAGTGCTGTTGCTGGGTCATAGGGGAGTTCTATTGTTAATTTTTTGAGGAACCTCCACACTGTTTTCCAGAGGGGCTGCACCAGTTTACATTCCCACCAACAGCTATGTAGGAGGGTGTCCATTTCTCCACATCCTCGCCAGCATCTAGAGTTCTCTGATTTGCTCATTTTAGCCACTCTGACTGGTGTGAGGTGGTATCTCAGTGTTGTTTTGCTTTGTATTTCCCTGATGAGGGACGCTGAGCATCGTTTCATGTGTCTGTTGGCCATCTGGATGTCCTCTTTGGAGAAGTGTCTGTTCATATATTCGGCCCATTTCTTCACTGGGTTGTTTGTTTTTCGGGTGTAGAGTTTGGTGAGTTCCTTATAGATTTTGGATATTAACTGTTTATCTGATACGTCATTTGCAACTATCTTTTCCCATTCTGTTGGTTGCCTATTAGTTTTATGGATTGTTTCCTTTGCCGCGCAGAAGCTTTCAATCTTTTTTTTTTTTTTTAATGTTTTTATTTATTTCTAGGGGAGAGAGAGAGAGAGAGACAGCATGAGCAGAGGAGGGTCAGAGAGAGAGGGAGTCACAGACTGAAACAGGCTCCAGGCTCTGAGCTGGCAGTCAGCACAGAGCCCGACGGGGGGCTCGAACTCACGAACTGCGAGATCATGACCTAAGTGAAAGTCGGACGCTTAACCGACTAAGCCACCCAGGCGCCCCTCAGAAGCTTTCAATCTTGATGAGGTCCCAACAGTTTATTTTTGCTCTTGATTCTTTTGCTTTTGGGGATGTGTCAAGTAAGAAATTGCTGCGGTGGAGGTCAAGGAGGTTGGTTCCTGCTTTCTCCTCTAGGGTTTTGATGGTTTCCTGTCTCATGCTCAGGTCCTTTATCCATTTTGAGTTTATTTTTGTGCATGGTGTGAGAAAATGATCTAGTTTCATTCTTCTGCATGTTGCTGTCCATCTGTTAACTAACTCTTTAACTCAAAGGCCGTTTCTTAGAGGACTCGAGGAAAGTGCTAATTTCCTAGCTAAGTAGAATGGGATATTGTACTTGAATTTGTCTGGCTGTTAAAAAAACAAAAACAAACAAAAAAAAACCTGAGGGACCTATGCAGTATATAGGATAATGACAGTCCATATGTGAGTTGAGGATGGTGGTGATAATAATATTACAGCAGCTAGCACTCATTAAGTACTATGTGCTGGGAACTGCTATGACCACTTGACATGAATTTTTTGAAATCTATACATTTCATTTCTGTATATTTGTGTGTGTGTGTAGATATATATATATATATATCTACACAGTCCTCAGTTGACCACAGGGACAGATGGAGTAGAGACAGAGATGAAACTCTTGGTCTCCCACCCCCCATTGCCAGCCTTCCCACCACGGCCTCAGTGTTGGCCTCACTGTCAGCCTCACTGTGTCTGACCTAGACTGCGCTGCCTGCCTATCCGTCTCCCTGCTTTCAGCCCTTCCCACTGGACATCGTCTTCTACGCTGCTGCCATGCACATCTTCTGTCACACTCCTGTTTTAAATCGTTCCGTTCTATCCCAGGAAAAAGACAGCTTCTCATCCCAAACTCTCAGATCCCAAACTCTGATTATGTTAAGGTCACCTTTAGAACTTGGTAAGAACATGTATTGCCAGGTCCCGACCCAGACTAGCAGAAATAAGGTCCCCCAAGGTGATTTCTGGGGAAGTGCACCAGCAGCTCTGGGAACCACTGCGTGAACGTGAAGTTCATGATGCCAGCACCACGGCCTGCCTGCCTGTGTGTCTGTCCCACGGGACGGCACACCGGGGGACCGTAGCTCTGTACCTAGCTCCTAGCCGGCACCTCTCAGATCTGCACATGCCTGTGTCGTGAGGCACACTTTTCTCCCATGGGACCATTTAGGAGCATTACTTAAAACAGGCTTTCATCCAAGCCAGTAGGTGTTGACGCTGACTTCCATTACTAATGGGTAAAAAGACCCAGCAGAGCCGCAGCCTGCATGACAAGTGATCAGCCCATGGAGATAGACATTTGCACATTTGTAAAGCAGAGTGTCCAGAGATTTGCTAATAGCGCAGTTACCTCACTCGGTCATTGTTGGCTAACAGGGAGAGGAGTAAATGCAGTGGTCTCGAAGCTACTGGCTGACTACAGATGAGTGGGTCACAAACCCTGCACTGGTGGTGAATCTAATAGCCGCTCCTGTAGCAAGGATCCTGGGGTCCTGTGCCTTGGGGAGGAAGTAGGGCTGACGTTACCAACAGAGCAGTTGGCAGAAGAGATGGGAGAAGTGTAGCCGCAGAAGAGGTGCTCCCAGTGGAAGGGAGCAGTGCTCTGTTCAGCCCTGTGGGGAGCTGAGGGGGAGGGGTGGGAAGGGAGGGGGGGTTTCCGGCAGCGCCCTCCCAGGACTCCAGTCAAATCTCTTAGAAAGCCAGCATGTAACACAGGCCCTGGCTTACAGCTCTCTAACAAGCTGGTTTCACCAAGTGTGTGGTGTCAGGCTTTCACACCCTCTCAAGGTCAAAGACAAGAGAACAGAGCTGATAACTTGTTGAATCTTTGGCATTCTTTCCCTGCACGTGCTGCTGGGTGCATGCCTGCTCTGAGAGTATTCAGCACCGCAAACTGTGAAGAGAGCCTCGCACTGATACCAGGCCATCCTCAGAGCTACCGCATGCCTCTGCTCAGGAGGAGGGGAGAGCTTCCCCCAAGAGCGGGTTGGCAGTGCCGAGCAGCTGCTCCTGTGGATGGCTCCTTTCTACACGCTTGCTGAGTGGCTAGTTCTCTGTAAGCGCTCAGCCTTCCGGAGTGTGTATTTCATCTTAGCGGGGCGAGCACATGGGGATTTATTTTTCACCCTTGCAATGTATTTACCCCCTATGCATATATGGTTCTTTTGAATTGGTTTGATTCTAGCGGTAGTGAAGCCTGGTACAAGTGATCAGATTTTTTCAATTTCTGAAACATTGGGCAAAGGGGGAAAATTTGCGTTTATCGAGCACCTGCAACGTGTCAGGAACTTGCACAGGTGTTCTCATTTATGTTTCACAGTAACCCTGGGAGGTTGCCTGTATAGCTGATTCCCATTTCACAGATGAGGAACATGAGGCCAAAATCTCAGTGCTTTTCCTAGGGCGCAGTGAAGGATCAGGGCTGAATTTGAACATAGATCTTCAGCGTTCTTTCCGTCGTGTCCTATCAAGGTGTGTTGTCGTCTTCAACATTGATCTTTGGTCATTATACCGAGACGCTCATGCCTTGTCAATTACTGACCTAAGGAACAGAACGAAACCATTTCATGGATGTGACTTTGAGCCTCATGGTTGTATGTGACCATGACCAGATGAGAGCAGACAAGTGACCCTTGACCATGCCATCTGTTACTGTTGGGTTCTCCAGCTCTGCAAAAGAAGAAAATAACAGCTGCCCTTGTTAAGATCCTTTCTCTGCTGGACACTACATGGCTTTATGTCACTTAGCTCTCACGATAGTCCCACAGTGTAGGTACAGATAAGGACTCTGGGGCTGAGAGAGGTGAGGTGACTTGTCAGTGTGAGTGGCAAGCTGAAATGTACCCCCTGGTTTCTGCTGGCCTCTTTCCATCTTCACCTGCCCGTGTCTTAGCACAAACCTTTACCAACAGCCTTTGTCCGAGATGGGCTCTTGTCTGGTGCAGAAAAGGTTCTTAACAGTTCGTAGACTCCAGGACACAGGTGGTTTTACCCTACCCGGTAAGTGAATTTTTTTTAATCCTGTTCAAATAACTATTATACATATGTAATCTGTTTTTTCTATTCCTTCACCCTCCAGATCGGCCATGGATTTGGAATATTCCTTACACCAAAGCACCAGACACACATGGGAATATGTGGGTTCCCTCCTGAGAATCTTAAAGCGCTGTGGAATTTAGGTGTAAGATCTCAAGCCGCGAGTATTAGATGTTATTTATATTGGATATTCACCCTTTTTATCTACACCCCTACAAAAATGTAAAAGTCACTCTTACAAACATGGACGCTGGTCATACTTTTAATGGTCATTAACAGTGTCGCTAAGAAATTTTTCTTAATTCACTTTTCTAAACTTTGGAATGAAAGCTTAACTGGACAACATTAAGAAAAGGTACATAAAATCCTCCTCCAAGTGATGTCTAAGCTCACGGTGGTGCCAACTCTCCTGAATTGAAGACTGTGTGTGCCCTACTCCATCGGGAAAGGCGCTCTCGATTCAAACGCAGCCCTCAGGGGGAGGATGTGCTTGCCCGTTATTACCCAGCCCACAGCCGTGCGTCTCAGGGCTGCCGGACGTGAGGCTGCCGGTGTCTGTGGTTCGCAGAGGCCGCTGCCTCTCGTCCCACCACCCCCCCTTCCCCAGGCTCACGGGACACTTCTGCTCCCGGAGCTCTGCGGGCTGCCTCTCCCCCTGCGGGTGGGTCCCGCTGCCCCTTCCTCACCCATTCCTCACAGTGGGAGGTTGTCTCCTTCACCCCCTCACATTTCCAGAGAAGACGGCTCGCAGAACATACAAAAGCACAAGTAGTTTACTTAGAAGAAACCCTAGAAGATGACCTAATTTGGTGCCTTCTTCACAAGTGAGGAAACTGAGGCCCAGAAGGGTTCAGGCTGCTCCCCAACATCACACCACTGTCTGGGTCAAAGCTCCGAGGATCTCTGTGTACGTATGTCCCTCATACTTAGGAATCGAGTTCTCCTAAGGTGATGTAGACCTTCTTGTTTTTTTTCTACATGAGGCTGATTGCAGTTTGTCGCCACCTTCGTCTTACATCTTTGAAGAGTGTTGAATAATTTTACAAGATAATTTTTGAAGATAGCTTTTCAGACTGTTCCTCAGGGGCCTGTGATTGTCACCTTTAGGAGCCGGCAGGGTGGGCGGGGCTGCGCCGACAGAGAAGTTCAGGCAGACAGCTGTGGGCCTCCCTCGTCCTGGCAGAGCGGCTCTGCGTCACCTGTTCCATATTTTGGGAAATGTCCAGGATGTCATCTGCGATTGTATGTGTACATGTGCTCTGCTTTTTAAAGTGTGGAAAAGCCATTGAATTAGTTTAACCAGTTCATTACCCAGGTAAGACGACTAAGGCTTCAACCTTTTCTGACCATGCCTTCTACCTCCCAGAACATGCGAACCCCATGTCACGTGCGCCTGGAAGTCAGTGGGAAGGCACTGGGGCTGGCCCAGAGGGGTGCCCGGCGGTCTGTGTGTGCAGAGGAGCGGCTGGGGCGCCTGGCTGGCTCAGAGGAGCGTGGGGCTCTTGAAGTCAGGAGTTCGAGCTCCACGTTGGGTGTACGGATTACTTAAATAAAACTTAAAAGCAAAAAAAAAAATTAAAAAAAGGACTGGCAAAGGACCTGAGATTCTCGCCAGCATGGTGGTCCCTTCCTGGGTGGGGGCAGGGCAGCTCCGGGCAGGCCTCTGTCAGTGGGAGCAGAGTCCCCGTGTCACCAGGACTGGAAATCAGCCTGCTCTGCGGCAGGACTCCGCCTGGGCTGCGCAGGGCGCATTCAGCCGGTTGAGGACAGCAGGGAAGCAGCGTCCCAGCCCCCTGCCAGGGCACCCTGCGTGGAGTCCGGCACACAGGCTTGTCGCTTGTCCCCTCCACCTAACTGCAAGGCGTGTTGGGGCTCAGAGCTGGAGCAGGACTGCGGAAGTTTGAACCCCCACTCTGCCACCTGCTGTGTGACCTACGCCAGGCTGTTTAACTTCTCTGCACCTTGGTCCCCTCGGCTCTAAGATGGGGGTGGTATTGAGAGTGGGGAGTTCCTCCGTGGAGATGCTAGGTGCCTGCGCGAGAACTGTACAGGGATTTGCTACTGCAGCAGTGGTTGATTCCTTATTTTCCTCATTTTCCTGATAAGGAAATCCTTGAAAAAGGTGAAGTGTTCATGCAAGGTCACACTTCTAGAAAGTCCTCTTGCCGGTATTTGAACCCAGGTCTGGCAGCATCCATGTCCAGTTTTCTGCCGGGTGGCTCGGGCTCCCAGGTAACATGGTACCTGAGGAGATGGATGAGTGTTACCCCCCAGTGTGTTGTGGACAGATCCTCTTACAGAACCGGATGGCATGGCACCGGCAGATGAGGATGAAAGATTCTAGATGCTCATTTTCTGAACAGCCCTGGCTTAGGGGCCGTACTTAAGGCAGCATTCCTCCACACCCCGTGCAGATCCAGAAGGCCCCAGCGGAAACAGACAGGTTCCGTAGAATGGGTTGGTAGGTACATCAAGGTAGCATTAGGGGAAGTTGGTGGTCAAGGGTTATGCACTCCGGGTTTGCAGGCCCCACTGCTAACGGCAGCCTCCTGTGCCGCTTGCTCTGGTCGGCACGGGCTCGGGGAAGGCAGGCCAGCATAGGTAGGGCTGCTAACATGAGCTCTCTGGGCACGATTGATAGCATACGTGAAGATTAATGCCCCAAGAATCATCAACATGGAAACACAAGAAACAAGGAGTTCTACCCCATCTGTTCCTTTAAGTGGGACTGAACTGCCCAAAGTGCTACAAAAAAGCATCATCAAACACGCCTGTGAATGTTTGAGGAAATTGTTCCCATTATTCTTACGTTGGGGTTTAACATTATTTCTCCCTGACTCACCTCCCTCACCTCCCTAGTGGCTGCCTGTAGCTGCCTGCTGCCTTTTATCCTTTGTTTCCGCGCCTCCCCCCTCCCTTCAGATCGCATGGCAGCACTGTCTGGTGGCTGCATACCTGCTGAGGGCAAACATCCACGTCAAAATTCAACTTCCTGCTTTTTTGTGAACTAATATAGATTTATTAAGGAGTTCCTCGGGGCACCTGGGTGGCTCAGTGGAGCGTCCGACTCTTAATTGCAGCTCATCCTTTTATGAAGGTGGACATGTAGCCAAAACGTCTAAACTAGGTTTTCATTCCAGATCATGAATTTCAACAGAATATTCTGCACACAGTGAGCCTTTAAAGAGACCTAGAAATTTTTTGAGGCAAAAAAAAGTCCCTACACAGCACTTAGGAGAAGTCAGTTGGCATCTTGGCGGGGGGCTGTTACATCGGCTATAAGATTACAGCGGATGTTTCCTGAGCAATTCCAGTCTCCACTCCTGTGCTTGCCTTAGGTTTAATCTTTATGTTAAAAAACATCCATGAGGTCCCACGGGGACTGTGGAGCCCAGCTTTTTTTCCTGGGTTCTTGTGTAAAAGTTCTGTAGTTATCCTTACTAGAAGTTACTAATACATGACTTCCAACAAATACAGTTATCAGATTCAGTCGTGAAAATAAGGATCTTCTATTTGATTTTTGTCACAACTTTTTTTCCACAGAAGATTATAGAAATTTACTCTAGGAAAATGACAGAATAGTCCATGTGAAACCATTTTTGGATCATCTGGGTGTTTGATTCAAATCAGGACATTTTAGTTTCTCATAACTGAAGCAATCAGCTGTAACCCCTTCCTTGAAAATTCAAGGAAGAGAATTCCTTGAAAAGCCTTGCTTTTGACTGATGAATACCTCACGGAAAAGGTTAGGCATTCTTTATTTACATTCATAAGACATAGCAATTAATAGATGAATGATACACTAAAGTATGATGGCAAAAGTGCAGGAGCTCAAAGACTGGCAGAAATCAAACAGCCTATTAGCCTAACTATAGGATTAAACCTAAAAGTCTGTTGACAATGTGCTATACCTACGCATATGTATAGATCCCATTATAAAATTTTTGACAAGTTTTCCAGGTTCGGTAGCCTGCTTTTTTCAAGCAATATCTAGGACAAAAATGTACTACAAACAAAACTACAATTTCATGCTGATTTTTTTTTTAATTTTTATTTTTGAGAGAGGGACAGAGAGGAACACACAGAATGTGAAGCAAGCTATAGGCTCTGAGCTGTCAGCACAGAGCCCAACATAGGCCTCGAACTGATGAACCACGAGATCATGACCTGAGTGGAAACCGGGCACTCAAACAAGCAAGCCGCCCAGGCGCCCCTCTTACTGTGTTTCTAGCAGCTAGTAAGTTCTATCTTAACTGGCTTTTTTTTTTTTTTTAAGTAGGCTTTATGCCTAGCGTGGAGTCTAACATGGGGTTTGAACTCATGACCCTGAGATGAAGACCTGAGCTGAGATCAAGAGTTGGAAGCTCGATGGGCTGAGCCACCCAGGCACCCCTACTTTAAGTGGCCCTTACATACTGAGATACAAAAACCAGAGAGAGGCAGAGAAGGGGTAATGTGCAGCCATTCATTTCCAGGAGAAGGGTACCAGTGCCCATGACCAGAACACAACATGGAGGCGAGTAACCACCTCTGAGCCCAGACTTCTCTGGTCCCTGAGTAATAACATTGTTTTATGTGTATTAATGAATCAAATCTCAATAACCCAGTACTATTAACACCCCCATTTTACAGATAGGGAGACTAAGGTTATTGGTCCAAAGTCACACAGCTGGCAAGGGACAAAGCTGGGATTTGAACCCAGACAACAAGTATGATGTATATTCCCAAGCCCAGCCAAGGAGCAGGACTCATGTATATATGTAATTGTAGCTACAAAACCAGGTACACTTTCATCCACTGTTAATAGCCGTAGTGTGACAGAACCAGCCATCAGTATATAAAATCAACCAGTAAACACTGCATTAGTATGCAAGGTTGAGCCACTGAACTAAAGCAAGAACCTGACCATGGAACTGGTTCCTTTCAAGTGAGACAGAGCTTTGAGGGCTGAAAACTTTGCCATGTTTAGTACGTTCTGTTAACTTCTCTGACTGAAACCTGGTGTTTCCACGGACTAGATCTAAAAGCACAGAGCAGAAAGGACTGTCTGTGTCAGAAGGCGACAAAGGAAATGCTGGGGAGGAGGAGGGCAAGAATCCGCCCAGGAAATGAAAGGAGGGTGCCTTATGCAGTAATGAGGGTAGCTTGAACAGACATGGGGCCAAAGCAATGCAAGTCATGGTAAAGCCTGCATTCTGTACTTTACAGAGTTCCGAACAAGTCCATCTCAAAGCAGAATCCAACTGCTGCATCTCAGTTACACACTGTTCTCTTAAGCCTACCAAAGGCCCACTGAAACTGTAGTCTAACCAGCATTAATCATTCTAAGACACTGAACCCTGTTCCCTTGTAGCAAGTTTTTCAGAGCATTGCACTTGGATTTATTAAGAACTGGAAGGCCTCTGGACCAATCTTTTTTAACAGAGAAACTCAGAAGGGAAAGGCAAGAGAGAAATTGCATCCATAGGGAATTTATTACAGGTATAATCAGTCATAGGTAACTATACACATCACACTGTGAGGCAGGTGATACTACCCTCATTTGATAGTGTAAAAGAGTCAAGGTCACAGCTAGT